AATGGCCATTACATAATCAAATTAATGAGATCTTACTACAAACCAAGATCTCCTGATGCAGAGGTTTTGCAAAGCTGCCATCTTGTGAGCCAGCGCTTCTGATACACCAGGTGTGCACAAACGAGGTTCCCTGTGGAACAAAAGTGCCCTGCAAAATGGCAACCAAGCAAAGCCTCTGTTACACTTCATAAGTACACTGCTCAATGACTGAGTGTAATAAATGGTACCATTCCATCTGTGAGTTATTTTGATGGCCTTTGTTCTTTGTATTGCAGGACTTACCTGGATCTTGGGCTCGTTCTCCGTAGGGGACGACGGCGTCCGCCTGACGTCTCTTTACCTCTTCACTCTCTTTAACTCTACCCAGGGATTCTTCATCTTTCTCTTCTACGGCCTCCTGTCCTGCCTCACCACCCGGGCCGTTCCATCTCCCGTCGGCGTGCCTCCTCCCCTGACCACCGCGACCAGCAAGCTGGGCCAACTCGTAGCGTCCACCGTGGCGCTCAACAACAAGATCCTCAAGATCCGTCCGAAGCGGAAAGGCAGCGCCGGGGAGAGCATCTTTACGTCCTTCAGCGACCTACCGTTGGAATTCGGTAAGAGAACGGTATTTAATTGAACGAGATAAAACATGACATCTGTTGCTTCTTCCTTCGGTACTTTCTTGGCTTTGGTTGAGCTGGAGCTTTCAGGACATTTATCGTCTTGTTTGGGCAGGGTTCGTTTAGTTCTAGTTAAGAGTTTGGCCAGATTTGGGGATAAAAGGATTGGGTTAGGGATTTACAGGGCTTCCAAAGTGACAAAAGCACCGTGGTTTTTCCTGACACACATTTGAATTATCCAAAAGTATAGGTATAAGTTGAAACTATCAATATGAAAACTTCTGTAAAGGTTTGAGTTGCATGCTTACTGATTTTCATTACATAAGCATTCTGCACATAGATGTGCAGGGCTTTTTCCCGTAGGGTGCTCAGTGTGGTTTGGTAAAACAGCGCAAAGCTCTATGGAGGCAGACGGCCCTTGAACGTGTGCTCGCACTCCGTTCGACCCGGAGTTACCCCAGCGTTCGTACCCATTACGTTGTTCCTTTGTTTTTTCCAGTGAAAGATACTTTAAAATACGTACCCCGAATCTCGCTCTTTACGAAAAAAAACCTCCGTTTTGCCGTTACGAAACGTAAACATGTGGTCTCTCATTGCCAGAGATTTGTTTTGCTCACCGCAATATGAACTTTCGTCCCACAAAGTCAGGCCTTGAGGACAGACGACTTGGAAATATTTATGTAACATACTATTCAATTCGTTCATATGTAGTTTCTTCAGGACCATTTCAGTTTTGAATGAGATATCATTTATTCATCGCCCAGATAATGCTTCTATCAAGTTGGCTCGTAAATTCATCATCCAGTTGCCTTTCAGGACCCCCTTTTCTCCCCCTTTCAGGAAACAACATACCGGCATTCCAGTGCGACCTCTCCCCAATTGGTACAAAGAAAGAGACGCTCGCTGGTGGACAACGGCCACAGGTCCTGGACCTGACATCTTGCAACTTTGTGCTGTCCGCCGGAATTTTGAATGCAGGGAACCAGCGTCCAATGATATATCTGGTGAATTCGGGCCCAGGTAGCGACATGTGGGCAGGGTCAGATTACAGAAAGAGGGAGGATTTTGTTCTTGGCACAGGGATAATATTCAGTGGAAAGTCTTAAATTAAGACACCCATTATTAACTGATGAACTTGTAAAAAAACCCAGCCATTTAAGAAAACACAAACAGCGGGATTTCAAAAGAAAATTTATCGTACCTTATAAAATTTGCCAACTCTTTTAGTGCAACTTTAAGTTTGAAAGGAAATTTGACAGCAATGAGTTAGTTGGGCTGATTGGGTCTTTCCATAACGAAGCACCTGACGCCGTAGACTTTAATCACGACGCTGCCATTTTTGCTTTGCCATTGTATACCAAACGACAGCAGTAATATAGTACAATGATACCTATTATTAAAAGGAAACGGACTATATTTTCCAGCCTCAGTTTGGTTACATTACTTTCGATGGCATAAAAAGAAGATGGCTGCCACGTGATGAAGTTCTATGCCAGTTCAACCATACACACTGCCTACTCGTAAGTTGGCATGTGGCCGTACTGATGGGGCCGACCTCGCTAATGTGTATTTATTTTCCCGAATGACGTACGACAGGCGTCAATTTGAGCATGCGCTGTCGAAAAAACCACGCGTTTTCTTTGTCTACTCTACCTTGTACCAAATTACACAAAAAATTGTTTCCAGGCATTTAACTATAATTGTATTTGTAAAGAAGTGTTTTCCAAAACAGACAATTCCAGTTTAAACCGTCAGCTAAAAATTTACGAAAAATTGAATCGAAGGACTGGAAAGGAAAAATGCAAACATCAGGAACAAAATTGAGAGCTGGGAAAATCAAGTTTAAGAGCGATGGATGTGTCAAAAACTGAATAATTAAAGTTGGCAAGTTCAGACACCGTGACATCTAACAGCGGCAAATTCAGTGAAAATGGAGGCCTACGATAGAAACCTGAAAATCAAATGGGAGATTCATAAAACCGATAACATGAAGTACTGAATTGAGACCAAATCACGTGTTCGTGGTGCGTTGAATATTTTTAGACATCGTACCCATGTGTGTGTGGGTATTATCTCTACGTGTGTTACAGTACAGGGCAAGTGTGTAATACGGGCGATTCACAATAGAGCGCCTCCAAGAATTTGCAATGCATTGGCCAATCACAATGCGCGAAATCTGTCAACCCTTTCCAAACGCGTTTGCCACCCTCCCCCGGTAGAAAATTAGGTTTTGGATCCGCCCTTCGATAACCTCAGCTATCAGACGTTGAACTTCGGCGATTTCTAAATGAATTGTAGAAATCGTAGAGCAGTGTGTGGTATAACATGACGACAGTAAAGAGAGACATTTCCACGTACGTGAGTAGGGGAGACTTAAGGCGCCTTCCCATTATGTGCATGAGCACTTGCGCCAAGCGTTGCGCATGCGTCGAAATCGCTAGCGGGGCGATACGCAGGTACTTGCAAGTACGTGTCTTTAACGGCGTACACATTGCTTATTCTAATGTAAAGTCAAGTGTTTAGTTAAATAGCCCGTATAGACAGTATGGTTTTTCTTACCTAATTCCTTGTACATTGTGTTACATCTTGTGATAGATTCAATATCCCATGCAGTACTAACATGTTATGACCGAACATTAGAAAGACAATTGGCCTCTATGATTGAAATTAATATAATGGGTTGGGAATGAAATGGTGGCGAGGCAATCAAATAACCTGATCTGCTCACTGACTCTTATCAATTTGTTCAAGGGAGGGTAATGGGAATGTCACATTTTAATCAAACTTGGTTTTTAATTCTGACGTTGGTGAAGAAGTGATAATTTGCGTGCAATGTGGAAGTTGATAAAATTATATAAAAAAAGCTTAATTAGGACAAGTAACGCCCATTACGTGACCAGCCAGTCTTAAAATGGTATAAGGTGGGCCTCTATATAAGGATTTCGACAAAGTCATCCTCTTCGGCCAGCAATCCAGTCAGCATCAGTTGTAATGGAGCTCAAAAACAATTCAGACCATTGTAATGGAGTAGTGTTTGACTTTAACTTATTATCACAAACAGAAGGACGCTGCGTTTTCTACCTTGGCCTGCTGATCGCTTTGCGGCCCGGAAATAACATTTCTCTTCAACATCTCCAAGGTGCAGTGTATGCAATCGGCCACCAATCTCTTTTCTGGCAAATCTGGCAGCGGCTATCTAACGTCTCCAGATACGAAATGACCCGTGGGCCAAGTCCCGGTAGGGCTGCGTAGCCATTGTCATGTCGCTCGATGTGCCGCTCCTCGTCTCGAATCCCATGGTGACTCTGGAGGGATACCAGACCATTTTGTCATCCCCTGAGGAAGATGCACACCAGCAAGGAGCTAACAGCAGGCAAATATTCGCTTGTTTTTCCCGTTTATGTTCGCCACAACCGTTGCACCTATAGACATTCAGCTCTAGACACCAGTTATCTGCGTGATCTGGCCACTTGATGGCGCCAGCCGAACCTCACCGTTGTAAAAAAAGTCCATTACTGCGTCAGTAGCACGCTCAAGGTTAATCTGTGCACCAGTGTTCTTTACTGTGCCGTGTGGTTGATGAATTTTGCATCGTTCGATGTCTTGGTCAACGTAGGTGTAGCCAGCGGCTGCAGCACAAATTCAAACAGCCGGGAAGTCAATTTCCTATTGCTCGCAGGCTGGTCGTGAAGAGTCTCAGTTTTTTCTTTTCCAAGCCCCGATTGGCGTAATCCTTTAACCTTCTCATTGTAATATGTCACTTTTACTTAATAGACTAGTAATCCAGTATACCTCCCATTATGTTCCTTGGTGGAAATTCAAACTCTTCAGCGGTTTAAATTTCGCTATTGTCCCTGAGAGAATAGAAAGGGAGCGATGCTTTGTTATTATTGTTTTCAAATTGACAGCTGTGTAAACTTGAGATCTCCTAAAAAAACTGAGAAATGACTTGAAAAAAAGCTAAATGCAGCCCGAAGGCCGATCACAAATGCAATTTCTGTAAACCTTTCATTTATCAGTGGAAGACGTTTGAATGGGGAACATTCCTCAATTTGTTGTATTGGACGTATTGGACTATCTTCTCAAGAAATTGGAACAGACGAAAATTAAAACTAGATGTGCCATATCTAATTGCAACAGAACATAACAATTGATATCTCTGATAACCTTCTATTAGTCTAATGGAGGACGTTGGAGTTGGGGCACTCTGCATGCTAATGTATTAGGCTGTCTTTTTTCTATTGTGTTATAAGAAAATTGGAATAGACAAATTGAATTTATTTGTATAATGGTCTCATCGGGACCGCTCAGCAAGTGCTATATAAACACGGCTATTGTGGAGTCAGGATTACAGAATCAGCTCGTTGAGCCACAATTTTTTTCGCTCGTATCCCAAAATCGGAACTATGGATGCTTTCAATCAGACAGATATCTGCAGTGGTCAGGCCGATTTAGATATTCGCAATGCAGCGGACGAAATAAGCTTGTTCCGTTCGCCGTTGGAAAGTTGGTGCCTGATTGTCGGCCAGCCTATTGTTTTCGTCATCGGAGCGTTGGGCAACCTGTCATTTCTCTTCACTCTTAACAGGATCCCGCAGATGCGCACCACCACCAACCTCCATTTGGCCAACCTGGCCGTGTCAGACTTCATCTACGTCTCGGTGATCTCGTTGTACGGCGTGCGGGTCTACCTGTCCACACCGGTATCTGGCACCATCCTGGCCAGCTCCTGGGTGGAATGCGCCGCCTTCATCTTGTTGGTAGATATACCATATTTCGTGTCCAACACCATCGTGACGCTCGTGGCGTTCGAAAGGTACTACGCCATTTGCCACCCTCTGAAGCAGAATGCTAGCTCCCCTCGATGCCACTTGGCCTTGCTCGTCGGAGGCTGGGTTCTATCGATCGGTTTCGCCTTTTCCGTGTGTCTGCGATACTCGAAGCTCATCGTGTTATGCGTCCTTTGGCCAGAGACTGAAGAGTTCACTCCCCTGTCCCGCATCGTCACATTTTGCTCTTCTGGTGAGCCATGGGCAAACCTGTATTCCCAAGGCTTGTACTCAGCCATATGGATGGGCGGTTTGCTCACAAATAGCATTCTCTACTTCAAGATAATTCGTCGTCTCGGCCGGCGAGGGGTCGGTCAGTCGCTTAGTCGAACCGTTTCTGTCCGTCGATCTGTGGCCCGCATGCTCATCATCAACAGCATCGTGTTCTTTGTCTGCCAAGCGCCGTACAGCATCATTTTCAGCTCGCTCAACCTGATTAAGGCCGCCTGGGGCACCGTGGTCTTCGATCCACGTCAAGTCACCGAACTCTGGCCGCTGGCCACTCTGATGGGTGTCCTCAACGGTGCTGTCAACCCCATCATATACGGAGCCGCCAACTCCCGCTACAGGAAGGCTTTCCTACAAGCCTTTGGATGCGCCACTGCACCCAAGAAGCGCCCGGTGAAGAAGACTACCTCCACCATATCGTCCAACTTACAAAGTAAAGACAGGCCTCTAAGCCACGAACGCGGCACTATCTCGTCCAGTGTACACGGTATCGTCAATCGTCTGAGTTTAGAGGATGAGGCACCAACTACTGAAAACCAGTTCTAACGCCCAGACACTTGAACTAAAATCTGAATTCATCTTTTCGAGCTCCTAAACCAGCCATATCAGAAAGGATGCCCAATTTAGGCACAGGCATCGCTAGAAAGATAAGGGCTGGCATCGACAAATTTCCGACGGACCGTCGGCAAATTTCATAAGTGTAATGGTTGTCAGGTTCCTCGACCTTACACTTATGTAACTTCCCCTTCATCTCTCCCTTTTCCATTCTTGACGACAGCACCATGATTTTACCGACAAAACTTACTGGCGGGGGTCTCACACACCCCCACACCCCCCTCTAGCAACACCCATGAACGTGGGCTTAGATTATTGCAACAGAAGGTTGTTCAGCCTGAATGTGATTTTGTGTTGGAAAGGTAATCTGACTATTGGGCGTTAATTTCCCGTTAATTTCCTCGTCTCGATCCTCCTCGTCTCGGCAACCATTGTCAAATGCACAAATAGCGATAAAGGCATGAGATGCTATACGGACCCAAATGTGGCGTATATTTATGGGTCATTACGTGTGAAAATATACTGGATGATGTTAACTGTAAAAGGCACGTTTGTATGGAGGTAAACGCTGGACGCGACGTCATAGGTCATACCTCGCAAATGTACGAAGTGTTCATCTTTCATGAACCCATGTCTACAATGTTTTATCGAGCCGTCACCCGATTGACTGGAGCTAGAATTAACCTAATATATACGGTATACGCACTACAGCTCACGAGTGACTGATAACACTTGTACATAGACAAAACTTTACGGTCAAATGCTCATAGTTATAATTTAGCGACTTATTGTCGACGGTAAGCTGCCTAACTTTGACCTCACTGTATTTTTTCTCTTCTTATTTTTCGATGTAATTTTTAACATCTAAAAAAAATTAAATCACACAAATTGTACATGTAGCAAAATAAGTAATGAGTTTCCAGATCTACCTTTGAGAAAGCTGAAGGAACCTTAGACAGTTCCTGCCGAAATAATACCGATTTTCATGAGGATGCCAAACTGAGTAATTATATTAGAACTTAAATTACTCATACTCAGTCTGCATGCAGTGCAAAATAAACAAATTTACCGGAACGTACTGACAACTGAAAAAGTGGCTCTTAACATTTTTTGTTGGATCGAGTGGCATGCATAACATTTTAGTGATACCTTTCCCGGAGAACACAAGTTTCAAGATGGGCAAATACTGTTGTTTGTTTGTTTGTTTCCTTGTGCAGAATGTTTATTCAAGTCTCTTCCTTGACAACTAGTCACTTCTGAATGGTTGTGATGTGGATGACAAGGGACGCTTCATTCCATTGTTTTTTTTTTGGGGGGGGTCGCTTTTCCCACACCTGTCTAATTCTTGCATTTTCCGGCTAATTTCAGGAGGAAGATGTCTTATAATATTGAGCACTCATACTTCCTTGAAAGGTGCCCCTCGAGGATTTGCTTGAGCATGATTCAGCCCCCTGATAATTGCTCTCTTAACGGAAGGGGGGGGGGTCGTAAGGAGAGGTTTCGTAGAACTATACGTAGTGGTGGGTACTTGCAGCTCTGATATAGGGAAACCGCAATATACCAAACTTTATTTAATCACATCGCAATTAACTCCATTAATGGCAACTCCATCTTAACTTAATTTATTAGCATACAAGGATAAAAAGGTTACAACACATAATTTCTAAATTCATGCTAATGCAACAACACTGCTGTGTGGGAGATACGATATATAATATGTATAAATTAAAATTAAGCGTTTGGCTTGATATGGACATAGCTTAGAAAAAAGTTGGACACTTCGGCCAGATTTGCAGTACCCAAACTATATGTACACCGCGCAAACGCAAAAGGACAAAACCCTTGTTATTTAAATGCAAATCAGTATCTTTGACCAAACTTAAACAAGATACACGAAGTCATCATGTGCGACCGTCGCATTAATTTCCAACGCTCTTGAGCATTCGCCTGATTACGTTCGATCTTGGTTAAATTGCGCATGCCCTAATACGCTCCCCTTTGCACACCTCATGAAGAAGTGCCTCTTTCACGAAGCAGTCAATAGTTTCCATGGCAGCATAGGCACGCCACTGTCGTCACTTGTATAACGGGCCATATTGACGGAGAGGGGAACGTGTATTAGCGGGGAAAAGGTAATTTTTTTGGTTCTGAAGCGTGTGTTCCGATACGTATGAGGTTGTCAGTGGGTCTTTACACACAGGTAATCATTTAATTATAGAGTTAAGTGAGTCCAAGGGTGGATTCGTCAGTTCTGTATAGATATATGGTCAGAGCAAGTACGGAAAACAAAATGAGAGTCTAATGAATACACAAAACAAATATCAAGCTGTTGAATATTTTTGAAAGCAGGTTTCTGTACCGTGACTGAACGGTCCAATTACGCATGAGTATCAGTATTCTAATGTCTCTTTTATAGAAATGCCATGGAGGGATACAGGAGGAGTTTGAACTGCCCGGGCTATTAATCTGGCCAATTACTGCCTTTCTTGCATGCCTAGTATGTCCATAGCCAGAGTGCAGCGCAGCTTGCTAGGCACAACCTGTTTCACTACCATAAGCCCCCTTTGTACCCCATGATCATCTTCCCATTTTTTCGCTGGTAATCTGCATCCTTAAAACGCTGTACACTCTAGTATAGGAAGTTGAATATTCATGCAATCGTTGGTGCTTGGTATGATCTGACAACAATATCAAATTTAACGCTTGCGCAGTTGCTTCTATTAGGCTGTGTACCTGAAGTGTTCATGTGCAGTTATTGCCCTTATCGAACACTGTCGTACGGACTTATTTTGGGAATAAATTGGCAAGTTGTTTATAAGATTTCGTGTTTTATTTGAATCATTTTTATTGCTATGCTATCACTGCGGATCAGCAAGACATAAATCAGCTAAGAATTGATAAAAACTTAACAGTAGATGGGGATCCCTGTTGAGGTTTCTCAAGAAATTGGTGATTTAATCTCATTCCATTTTTCATTTTTCTGGCTTTTTCCTGCTATATTTTCCTTTCTAATTATAAATATTTTTACTGGGAAAAACACCCCCAGCTTCCCTCCTTACGAAGCTCATGCAAAGAAATTTATGTTACGCAAGTCGAAGCACCTAGCCTTGTCCAACGCCGTGCAAGGACAGCGGGGACGAGCGAACAAAGGGCATTTAGCTTGCGCTTCCTGATTATTATTGATCAAAGTGAACGCTGAAGAGTTTGCAAATATCGACCAATCAGAGCGAAGTGGAGGACTGCGCTTACCACGTGCGGAACCGTTATTTTTTTCGCTATAAAATGCACCAACCCTCTACGAGCAGGCACATGCGTGTTTGGCGGATTACAAGACTCACTTTGGCACTTTAACAACTCAGCATAATGGAGCACGATAACGAGACGGAAGATTGCCGTGATTTCACCATTAATTTTACCGACACAGAAACGGCAGCTCAGATGTCTTTCAAACCAAACGAAATCTTGTTCTCCTCTTTCGGAGTCCCATTGGTCTTGGCAGTTGGCATTCCAGGAAACCTCGCTTTTTTGTTTACTCTCTTCAGAGTGCGTTGCATGCGGACCACGACTAACTTTTACCTCGCGAATTTGGCCGTGGCTGATCTCCTGTACATCGCCATATTCTCAGTGTACAACACCGAGACGTTCTTGCAGTCGCCGATAGCCTACACCTCATTTGCCAGCTCTTGGCAAGTGTGCCTAGTGATCGCCCTGACCCTAGACGTTCCTTACTTTGCCTCTAATTCCATGATCACCCTTGTGGCGTTTGAAAGATTCTACGCCATATGCCACCCCCTCAAGAACCTGATATCAAGGAGTCGGAAGCGGACCGCGTCTGTAGTTGCAATCTCATGGACCGCGTCCATTTTCCTTGCCGCTACCATCTCATCACGCCTGTCCACGCATCGTGTGGCTTGCGTTCTCTGGCCAAGCGGCGATGAGTTCTCATCTCTGCCGGACACGGTCAACTTCTGCCTTGCCGGGAGACCGTGGGTCAAAATCCTCACCCAGTCTTTGTACTTTGGGTTCTGGCTCCTCGGACTGCTTACCAACACCGTGATGTACTACAAGATCATTCGTCGTCTGAGCCACCGCCCCATTCCTACAGCCTCTGTTCCGCAGACACGCCACCATCTCAACGCAAAGGTCGTACGAAACCAGGTGGCGCGATTGCTTATCGTCAATAGCGTCGTGTACTTCGTGTTGCAGTCCCCACGCGTTGTGGTGTTCAACCTGATTGGATTGATTCAGGCTGCCAGCGGGGTGACCGTTCTGCAGCCGGGGAAGATCACCGATCTTTGGCCCATCGCCTTATTCCTGACTCTGCTCAACTCTTCAGTAAATCCCATCATATACAATGCCACAAGTCAGCAGTACAGACAAGCTTTTCTACAAGCCTTTGCTTGCCGGAAAGAGGCAAAAGAAAACGCACCCACAGGGGCCATTGGAAAGACAGAGGCTTCGTCTCGTAGTGTCTCAACCACCAGACTATCTGAAAATCTGAAATAGACTCTCAACCGTAGAGCAAGTAAATCTGGCTTGACTCTTATGGTAAGGCGAAACATTGCCTTCTTTAACCCTAACAGTCCCAAATCCTCCAATTTCAATACGATTTTACATACACCCTAGGGGGTTAGGGTTAAAAGAGTTTGACCTCTTCGAAAAGAGACACAAAAAGAAGGGGAAAAATAAAAAAAATCACTTATAAGCACCTTGAAAAAAAAGTATGGAGATTAAGTGTGGAGGGGCCCGAGTGAGAGTGGATTATTCTGTCCCCTTGACACATAATCATTTCAGTTTCCTAAAATTTTGCACCTTGAAGTTAAATACATACCGCAGTGCGCACAAAAGGTAGTTTGTTGTGAAAATGAAGGCATTTCGGCGGAGAGTTGTTCAAAGTTGTACCTTTTAATAAAAGAAACTAATACGTTTGAATGATGTTAAAAAAGTAAAAAGTAATTTAAATTTAATTTGGTATCGTGAAAGTGGTGTATATAAAGAGTAGAAGAAAAAGATCATTAAAACGTATTAAAACTAATACCTTTTAATGATGTTAAAAAAAAATAATAATTTAGATTTAATTTGGTATCATGAAAGTGGTATATTTATGTGACATTGTTAATCGTAAATGTAGTTTAAGTCCAGAACCATTCACAATATAGCCTCTCTCTCTCTGGAACTAAATTGAATCCCCAAAATGAGAAAACTGCGGCAAAAGTTGATTATCGGACTACTTACAATATTTTACGAAAACAAAGTTCGGTAGAATGTAATCTACGCAATGATCGACTGTTTTCAAGTTCCAGAACCTTAATGCATGACGAATGTGTTCATTCACTTAGAGACAACGAGTTTCTGGAATCGTTCGATACAAGTTTTAAACAAGGGAATAAACTCGCGCTTGGCCGGTCTCCGACGTGTTTAACACTGACTCAGGAGAATTGACGCGCGAGGGCATTAAGCAGTCGCCTGGTCTGAGAGCGGTCTGAGCCGGTCGGAAGCATTAGTTTAAGACATCCCACAATGAAGTATTAAATCAGATAAATGTCGATCAGCTGTTACTGGTTCCATTGTCATAGCAGCCACACCATAAACTCTGAGAAGAACCACCTAGTCAGCAAACACTTGTGTGAATCATGTTTAGCAAAAATCCTTTTCAACTCATTTCCAATCTCAAGACACGCTCACATTCTTATTCAATGTTGTTAATGCAAATTTCAAAATTTTAAAGATTGTAAAGCAAAATGCCATGTTACCAAGCTTACCAGTAGTACATTTTATATATTAAGCAGCATTACGTATCGGTTTCAGCAGCATTATGCAGCTTCGCGGACAGCGGGTATTAAAGAGAGGATTCGTATTGAGGATGTCTGTTGGTCGAATCATATGGGGTAATTTTTCTTTCCTTTTTTTAAAGTCTATTTCCTCTTTGAAAACAAACTTAATGGATTAACTGCCCAACTTTGTGGCTTTGCAGTTTCTTTTTTACAAGAGGGGAAACGCTCACTTCAAAGCATTATCAACTTTAGTGGCACAAACTAGCTTGGCACTCATATCACATAGTGCGATAGTAACTAACTCCTAATATTTCAATGTTGGTACTTTGTTGTGCTATAAAAGCCGTAAAGATACGTTCTACACTAATTTTGGGTTCATCTATCACTTGCTATGAATAAAAACTACAGTCAGACATAGGGGCTTCTTCTTAGTCGTCTGACCGATAACATGGTCTAGTTTTCAATCAAGCAGAACTTCAGCAGTCGTCGAAATCTGCACAGTATGGCGAACGTTCAAGAGACATACACGGCATCTATCTTCCGTACAGCTAGCTTAATACTGTTAAATTCTGTATAATCTCTTGAAAGTTTCATTTCACATATTACGTAAAGTAAGCTTGATTTCACCCATGTCTGTATTAGTGACTCAGTGTGTGTCTCCTTAACAACCAAACGAAAATGGCAGAATGTTGATTTTTGATTTTCAAATGTTGATGGTCACATTAAAATTAATTCATGTTCACTTACGGTTAAGTAAGCGCTCCCCTTTCTTGTGGATAGCTGAGTGTATTTGGCAAGTAGTCATCAAAACCTCGAAGGTGATGTTACCGTTGTGCAGACTGGTTTGCGGGTTTGGCGCTGAATTTGTCATTACTGACAAATCAGGCAAGATCACTGATTAAACTACCGCTGAGGAAACCTGCCGTACCAGTGGTCTCCAAGCCTAGTTAATTCCGGCTTGAAAGATGTCACTCCATACACGCCAACAGGTCGTCGACGATGGTAATCAGAAGGTGTCTTGCTGTGAAAGCATATCCTCATTCTGACACGAATTCTTTCAATCGCACTGACAAGAACACGCGGACATCAATAACAATTAAGTTACATAACACAACTCGTGACGTTCTGATGGGGTCGGCGAAGCCTGCGTCCTAAATTCAAATAGCTACAGATTCTATACAGGTTTCCACAATAGGGCCAGGATAGTCAAAATACCGTTTAAACTGGAACACGTTTTTCTATTAAATCACTTTGAAAAGACAAGAAAATTTGGATTAAGTCACGTTAGGTTGGTATGGGCATTAACGATTTTGAAACGTACTGCAAGCTAAGTTTTGATTTTCAGAATTCAGCCGCCGAAGGCTTAGGTCCAAAACTTTGAGGGATTTGCTCTGATTTTCTATGAAAATTAAAGATGTTAAAAAAATTGAGCAACAGTTATTTTTCATTTGAAAAATTGCCAAATGAATTACTTTCACTGGCTCTTATTGAAGCGGGGCGGGAGGTAGGCCTGGAGTTTGGCCTTTGTGCTGGGCGGAGGCTGGGGATCGGAGATAACGCACAACAGGGCCAACGTTAGCGAAACGGCCGCGGGTGTTGCTGAGCTGCAAGACTGGGATTTGGGCGGGGTGGGTTGGGAGGTGGTTTCGCTAGGAACGGGTTTTAGGCTTTGACCCAAAACTATATAGGGCCAGCCCCTCAACATCCCTTTACACCTGGTCATGTACAAAGATAGTATTCCGAAGTGAACGCAAAGCAAATCAACATTATAAGGGGGACGCTTGACTTATTAGCAAGTTCTAAATTTTCCATTGGCTCCTTACAAACTTGCCAAATGTCAACTCAGTGGGAGCCTTTGACATGTATGGTGGCGACAAACATATAGTTCTAAGCACAGGCGTGTTGTTTTGAGCATGCGTGCATAGTTCTGATCACCTTGAGGGTGCATTCTGCCAAATGGTTGGAATTTCTGCACGCGGGCTCTTTAATATTTTGTGATCCCATAGGGTTTTACAATAAGTCATGCCATAATCAGGAGGCATCATAGAGAAATGTCTATAAATCACAAATTTGGGACTAGTTGAATTAAATTCGGGGTAGGCCCCTATTTCTTTGACAAAAAGCCCCAACGTGTGGGCCTATGTTGGATAGCGGCGGGCGGCTACGTACAGAACTGAGCGTATAGTTTTACTACTATTTTGGGGGTATCTTCGGCGAAAGGCGATTAAAAAAATTGCGTGGCTAATCGGGATACAACGGAAATGGAAAGTGAACTTCTGACCATAAACTTGAATTTCCAGTGAAAAACCGGAGGCTGACCTCTTCCCAAGAGTCAACATGCGGCGCTATTTCCGCCCGGTTTTGCAACCATGAAGGACCGGTATGTCCGCTGGCACCAGCATCTTAAAATCCCCCATTACCAAAAAGGAATCACTGAGGTATATCCAAGGTTTAATCTGCAGCTAAGACTCAATTCGCAGAAATTAAACAAACCGCTCAGACTTTTGAATAATGCAATTAGGCCTAGATATATGAGCAAAGGGAGCTACGCTTCAATTTACAAATAGACTTTATTGACAGAGAATAAAAGCTGGATGTTGCTACTTAGTTGAACGGTCAACGGTCACAATGCAACGTACTTGACCCAAGGATAGCGCTGCCACGATGCGATACTGAGGCACATTGTAAGGGACAACAAACAAAACTCATACAGCAAAGTGCAATTACGTCCATCCTTTTTGTTACGAGGAATTTCGAACACTGGCATTTTCTAACTTAATTTTCTCGGGCATGACGCACGCGGACTATCCAAGGATTTTTTGACAAAGCTTTTGCTGTATAGGAATAGTAATTTCGGACTGACAATTTCCTGGAGGACATTGCACATAAAAATTGAACTGAAATCAGATTTAGCGAAAAGAACAGCTAGGGATTGCGGATTTTGCCAAGTCAATTGCGAATCTCCAAATGATATGTAAATATGTGGTTATAACGGCCAGATGATGAAAAGAACTCTTCCGTTTGAGGAACATTGCATACTGAAATCGAACTAAATCAGGTTAGATAAAAAGCATGAGCTACGGTGGTCCTGCCTTATCAGTTACAAACAGGCTCCTAACAAAACGAAAATGCTCTTCCGAAACTCAACAAAAAAGATTCATTTATTCTATTTTGATTGGACCTGAACAAGCATCGATAAGTTTAATGCATTTCTCGGGAAGAAAATGAACAGTAAACCGAAGGTCTTGCAGTCGGTTCAGTGCAGTAACACAAGTACGCTTAGATTGATAAAATACTTGATTGATAAATGCTGAATTCCACCCTCCCTTCTGTTTTATTCGAAGCGGATTGATTAGAAATTTGAACTTGGCCCATAAAACTGCTCAAATGCTGCTTTGGTCCTTAATCCGTCTCTAAAACGTTTGGGCATCAAAAAACCTTAAAATGATTCCGTCTCTATAATATGATTCGTCAGGCCCAATTCCCAAAGGTGCATGTGTATTGTACTGAGCCTATACAACATACTTCAATCGACCAGGTCACTGTTCTTCTCCCGAGAATAGGCTATTTGTGATAATATGAAACCCACTGTGATAATTCCTGCAAATAAAATAGATCACAAAACATTGCTGACGCTTGGAAAGTCTGGAAGCGTGACGGGCCTTTGGACTATTACACTACAAGGATATTACAAATGGAGCTGTTATATTAGCTTCAGTGAAATAAGTTGAAAAAAACTTTAAAACCTTTCATGCAAATATACCGACTCCTACGCGTGCTACAAAAAGATTTACAAAAGATAAAGTACCATCATTAATTAACAACCATTTTTCCTGTTTCTTCTTTACGGTAAAAAATACCTCCTTTTGAATCAATTTTCAATATAAGAAATATGCTGTACCTATAAACTAGTGATCTTTTGTAATTCACATTGCATTTCACATTATACAACCAAACAAATTGAAACAACTGATATGCTACTACACATAAATTTCAAACTTGCCAGATTTATTTTGAAAATTGTCCTTGGGGACGAGGATTTAATAGCCAGTATTTGACGAGACAAGATCCTGTGTTTAAAAATTCTTAATGCGTCTAAAAACTATAGCTGTTGCCAACGGCACTACCTGCTGTTAGTCGTCTGTAAATTTATGGAAATGTCCAACCCATTCTTAAATTTTAAGCCTACGAAGCCATTTTACCAACTGTGTGGGCAGAAAAAGAGAGAAGTTTGTCAGTAAGTCATGTCGCTGTTGTACGCCGGGCGCGCACGATCGCGTTCATCTCTCGAATCGTGGGATCTGATTGGATCGTGCATCTCTGGGCGTTCTGTGCGGCCTGTGGGCGTAGGCGTAGGCGGAAAGGCCTCATTGTCGTAGTACGGCTGCCGGCCGTGGTTAACAGCACCGAACCGCTCATCGTGCTGGGACGCTGCCTCGCTTGCAAAGGCGATGTTATTGTCCACTTGTCGTCTCATCTGAAGGTCGCTCGGCTGAACGTCAACCGGGAACCGCTTCAGCCGTAAAGCTGGCCGCCTGAATTTGTGATAAAATCCCAAGGAAACATTAGTACTTATCACATGCAAATAAAATTGATAAAATTTTAAAGGCTTCTAATGTCATGGGAGAAGAGACAATTTTCTGCCTCTAACAATCAAAATCACGTGCATATCGTGGTCTTGGGTACAACCAAGCACAGGGCCTACCTATGTGGTTACAGTTAGTCATAAAAGTCAGGCTACTGAAACGAAAGCTCACTTTGTTGAACTCCAATGCATGTTTACTCTTTAGTTTGGTGTCGTTTCAGCGCCAGTGCAGGTTAAGAAACAGAAAGGCCAACAGACAGATCTGAAGGCATTCTAAAAACTGTTCTCGAACCACATGGGCATCTCGGTAAGTCGCAGTCTACAACTGCATGCCATTCAACATTTATCACAAATAATTGAGGTCTTGAAAAACTGAAAACAACGTCATCATTTCTTCATTTCGCAATGCAGGCCAATCTCCATCTGTCTTTAATTACCTGCTCCATCGTCGGTGAAGCCACGCCATCATGGCGAACAGCACAACCACGCAGATGGCCAGCACCCCAACCATGACGTACAAAAGTGTTTGCAACGGTGCTGAAGAAGGAAAAAATGAATCAAATCCGGTTGACCTTTTCATATGAGTAAGTCATAGGTCAAGAGAACAGCGACCCCTTTGAAAGGATGGTGTGAAAGAGTTCATTTCACATTATGCTGAATATTAAAAGGAATTCATGGAAAACTGCTTCGATGAGAAATACAACAAACGATGATCAGGTTGTTCCCAAAGTCGATGTTTGTCTGATTTTGTGCGCTGTAAGAGATAAGATTGACTTATTATTTAACACAACACAATTGAGCCACCGTGCTACCCTGAGCAAATTAAATGACATTGACATTGATTATTCTTCAAAATATTGTTATCAAAGCGATTGCTTAAAGATATCTACCTTCAGGTGCGACGGTCGCCGTTACCACTTCTGCGAGAGGAAAGCATAAAAAGCCGTTTAATTTACGATAAAATATACAATATACGTCGGGCAGGGCAAAGAATCAATTCTTAAGTTCAATTAACATTTCCCGACGCAAATCCATCCTTAAAAAACCGTTTGTAAGTGTTTTAGTTGATGGAAAAGTTGGTGACAGCAAGTTATGAGTCGATGCATAGAAACGATATATGTGGGATAGTCAAAGTAGAAACACTCGTCGAAAATGATCCCCACCTTGTTCACAGTTCAGTCCCAAAGTCCCCTCGAGGCATGTAGCGTATAAGACAGACGCACTGATTCCGATGTCTCCATCTTGCGCTTGGCGTCGATTCCGAGAAGAATCGATACCGCCGAGAATGCGCTTGGTGAGCACTCGCATTGAGTAGGCGCTGCCCGGTAACAGGTCCAATATGCTGGCGGCGGTTGCTTCGCCAGGAAGAAGGGTGCTGTTCTGCCATATAGAGTCTCCTGCTAGCCTGAAATCGAAATGAATGGAAATTTTTATTACATCAGTAATTGGAATCACTGAGTTAAAGTCATACAATAGACGTAAAAAGACTTAGCAAAGACCTCCATGTACAGGAATAACATGACATAAAGCTGAGATAACTTAGGCTAATAAATTCAAGTGCCTACACATTATACGTACATACAAAAGGGCCAAGCTGGTCCCAAAAAATCTCATTTTTTCTGCTACGGTTTCAAAATACTTTCCTAAATTTTCTGAATCATTCAGCCGAGTAAAATCAAAGTTTTTTTCTCGTAAAGAACGGAAGATTTGAGTACATAGAGAGTTGAAAAAATGAATGGTGAGAAATCGAAACTGCTGGTAGGGCAATTGTCTAATTGATTTTCACCATTTTTTATCAAGTTAGTTCGAATGAATGCAGGCGGCTAGATGCTCGTAACCCAAGCACATCACTTGCAAGTTCACGAAAACAACTGCCAATACGGACCATTCACAATGGTGCACCTCCAAGAGTTTGCAACACGTTATCCAATCACAACGCCCGAAATCTGTCAACCTTTTCCAAACGCGCATTGGGTCGAAAGCTTTCGCACATTGTGATTGGGCAACGCATTGGAAACCCTTGGAGGCGCACTTTCGTAAAACGCCCGTATTATCCACAAATATTTCTTTTTTATGTTTTCCTTTTGGGAATGGTTTTGATTGTATTAAACGATGACAACGACGAGAAAAATCCAAATTAATTCCAAATTTACTAGTGTCGTTTATAAGAAATTTCACTCACTGGAACTGAACCATATTCCAGTCCGCATCAACCATCAGTTCCCACGAGATCTCGAGAGAAGAGCTAGTGGCCAACGTCAGGAGAACGTCGAATGCTCCAATTGTGCTGTAGTCTGAAAGAGTGATATGACAATATCGTTATTTGTCGGAAATTGGCCAACGTCGACAAATTAAGTAGCCTTGTTATCAAATCATTCGATGCATCGAGGAACATTTTATAACCTCAATGTGCACAAACATTAATTCAAACATGATTCATTTATGAATGACACAGATTTTCAAACCTTCGACCGATATTATACGCTAACTGGATGATGATTTTCTGTTTACCATTATGTTAACTTAACTGAATCCACATTCAACTTTAACATTAAATGAAAACAACGACAAGCAACCACAGGCCTGGTTCTTAATACATAATTGGCGGAAATAATAACTGGGGTGTTACAATAGAGTACGAGTGCTGATCAGGAATCTCAAATATAGAGGTTTTTCACGTGAAGTGATGTGACGGGCAAAGGCATTTTAGGGGGCGAACTATTTCCATAGTGGCGCGTGCATGAATCTGAGCTTTTCCTTAGGCAATATTATGTACGCAAGAATGTTGAGAGGTTTCGAAGGTGTGCACGTTTCCTCGTAAATCAGATTTCTCTAAATTGCACGCTGACCGTCAAAAATGGCGTAACTGAAAATCCTTTGTCACTCGCCTGTGTCACACTGCGTCCTGCCCTGCCATCCCCGGCGGCACGTGCGCGTCGCGATGATGTCACTGGCGATCACCACCGAGTCCAGGCCGTACAGGACCCGGATCTCGTACGACGTTTCCTGTTGCAGGTCAGTCAGCACGTAGACGTTGTGCTGGCCGAAGGTCAGCGTGCCGTTGCGCCAGCTCAGCGTGTTGAGCACGCGGAACTGCAGCTGCACGAAGGCCACGCCAGACGAGGTGTCCCACGTGGCGGTGATGGAGATACTGTTCACAGACGTCACGTTGAAAGTGTCCCTGAAGGGCGTGGTCAGGGCCATGGTTGGTGCAAGCGTTGTGGGGACATCTACAATCGAAGACCAGAGTAAAGAACATTTTCTAAAGAATATTTCAAACCAATTACTTGAAGACGGAAGAACACCTTTCAGATCTGATCAAGTTTTTTTGTAAACTATCATCAGCGACGAAAAATGCGAAAAGGAGAAATAGACTTTATTGTCACAATTAGACAGATTTCGGTTCAGTACTTTAATTAGACGCAAATGTATTGCAAAAGTTCGATTAGTTCTGACAAAAATCAGGCACAATACAGCATACATATTCCTTGTTTAAACTCTTGTTTTCACTGCTCTACTGCCGCGTTCTACCCTATGCAAACAGTGGCCTCTTAATGCACTCGTTATTGAGCGCAAAAGATTCAATCTGGTATGAACTATATAGAGGAACCAAAAACAAAGTGAACATGACAACAAATCATTAAAAACCGTACAATTTTCGCAGTTGATCCCATTGTAATTCCTCGAGCAGGTCAGCACCACCAGCTCAGCACTGAAAACGTCCTCTAGCTCCCCGGGCAGGCTGATCACGACCCGCACGACATAGTAAGTCAGCGGGGAGAGTTCCTCGACCGTAATCGCCTGGCGTCCCGGCGACAACCGAGCCACCGTCGTCCACTCGGCCTCTGACTGCTGGCGGAGCTGGACCTCGTATGAAGCAATCTCGACGTCTAGCTCCCAAGAGACCGTTATGTAAGAGCTGGTTGCTTCAATCAGCTTGAGATCGTAGGCACCAGCAGAGTAATCTAGAATAAAGTACAGATCCCGAGAATGCATGAGATAGTGTACCCACAGAATGACAGACGACAGCGAAATGCACAGATCAGAAAAAAAGTGGCGTTTGTTGGGCACAGGCTTATGCTGGACCCCACTAAACACGGTGTGAAGATATTTCAAGTATGATGGTTTTGTACATTGTTAGGCGGTTTTACACTGCAATATTGGCTACTGACACTCTTGGAGTATCGGTCTTTCATCGGCGAATACAGACTTGAAGGGTGTTAAGGAAGTGAATCTGAAACAAACATTACAACGGGTAGAATCTCAGCTAATGGCGCTATATTGTCTTCATGACTTCAGTGTTATTTATTTGTAAACTTCGTAGGCGTCGAGAGCTGTCACTCATTGTAACCGACGTATAAAAGCGTTAGGGGACCAGTTAGCAGGGTGCTTGGGGCTCTCATAATCTAAAGTAATTTTCCGTTGGTTTGGTTGAGGTATGAATAGAGCATTTGCATGGCTGCCATCTTTGAAGCCAGTGCCTTTATTCCACAGTGTATGCACAAAGGAGGTTTCCCTGTGGAACAAAAGAACTGCCCTGCAAGATGGCTATCAAGCAAAAGCTCTATGCTATAGGCTATTTTGTCCCTCTCCACATACTCCGAATACCTACCGCCCTCGCAGTTCACGCCCTGCAGGCCGTTCGCACAGGTGGCCGCGCTGAAAGCCTGCGAGATGGTCACGTTCCCGCCGCCGCCCACGAAGACGAAGCGGACGCTGTAGCCAACGCCGGGGCTCAGCCCGTCCAGGATGTACACCTCGCGGGAGGCTGGCACGGTCGGGCCGGTCTGCCAGGCCTGGCGGGAGAAGGCAGAGCCTGACCGGTACTGGCCAGTCACCGTCTCCGCCTCCAGGTTGGAGTCGAGCTGGAAGGTCAGGGACGAGCTGCCGCGGCTGAAGATGCTGCCATCGTACGGCAGCGCTGGACACGAGAAAATTAAGGGTTGGAATGAGTCTACAAAGCCTCCAATATATTTACTAGTAAAATACCGTTCTCTTCCTAAATTGGCGGACAAAGTTTGACTGACCGTCAATTAAAAAAAGGCAAACAACCCCCCCCAAAAAAAACAAACAATTGATGAACATGAAACATTCTTCACACGGACACAAAACACAAACTGGTAATATAACTACACCCATGATAAAAAGTGCCTTCCTCTTGAACAATAACGGGAAAAATGTCTCTGCATCAATGAAATTTCCTTTACGAACGAGACAAAGAGATTTAGCATTCCATGTCGTAAGTATTATGACACTGAAGAGATACGTATCGTTCAAGACGATTTTCCAAAGTCCGACGCCTGCCTTGGGTGCATTCTTTAACGTACGAACCCGACCGCGCTTCTCGACCAGTTGAACTGAAGTTAAATCGTTCATTTCAGACACACATTACTCTGTATTGGCTACAGTCTAGAGTCTGTTTCTTCAAACAAAGAAAATAATCATAAAGTAAGATTCATCGTGCAAGACACCCTCACACACTCATTAACAAATTGATTAAGTTGACATAAAAAAAATCAAGATGACATACATTCTTCGCATGTAACTCCCTGGTAGAAATTACTGCAGGTCTCGAAGGTCTTTTCGTCTGTGTAGGCGTCAGTGCCGTCCAGTTTCCGGGCGTGAATCCTGACCAGCACCGTCTGCTGCGGCTCTAGGCCGTACAGCGTGGCCGCTGTGGTGATGCCTGTCAGGACCGCCCCCTGGCGCCAGGCAATATCGGAAGTGAACTGGTACTCCACCTGATTCCAGTCCGTCGCGCCAGTCAGTTGCCATGACAACGAGAGAGAGCTGCTGGTGGCCGTTACTAGCGTGAGGTCGTAAATGGAAATATCTGTGGAACCCCCCAAATTGAATCTCTTTATCAGTTTGAAGACTAATAATTCTTAAACAGAAATTTACAACTCTTAAGAAATTAAGCAGAAGCAAAAAACAGTATTAGTTCAACTAAAATTAACTGGTGGTTTCTGTAATGATTTTGTAATTTGCTTCATTACTTATGACTCCTGTAAAATTAATCCGAAACATTTATTCAAAAGAGATCAGAAATTGAAGTTTCATAGTCTCACCTTAATTCGGCACGATAGCTCACCCTTCGCGTTAGAGTAAAACAGTTATTAATACAAGGCCGAGTTCGGGCGGCTTGTTCTCGTATGTTCATGAACAGCTCGATTTGTTGTTTGTGGATAGGCCGCTTGAATGCGTTGTCACTGGTAGTTAGTGAAAAGCAGTGACAGCGTCCATGTACGTAATTCGTCGAGGGTTGATGTTTAGATATTACTGGGCTGCATTCTTTTCTAATTAAAAAGGAACGTCCATTTCTGTGTTATGGAAAACTATTAATGTCAATTTGGCAAAACGCGCTACTGTTAAAAAATCCAAAATCTCACGAGTTTTTCCGTGTGTTCCTGTAAAACCCTGACGAGGAGGGGGTGTATGATCCAGTTCAGAGAACAACGTTTTGGGGTCGTGTTCCCGCCGTTCAAGTGCGAGAACGAGAAAGCCATGTCAAGAATAGGCCGCCCGAACGCGACGAAGTGTTTTCTGAATATGTTGGGGATAAAAATCTCCCTGAGATATGTAGATCCTTGCAAAATTACCTTCTGTGCAGAGCAAGTTTGTGAATCCTTCAGGACAGGAACTTTCAAAAACTGAGTCCCCGTAAAGTGTTGTTCCACCTATCGGCAAAGCCAGACGGATTTCGTACGTCGTGGATGCGAGAAGGTTTGTAATTGTGTACTCGGTAACACTTGAAAGGACAGTCGGACCCCTCTTAAATTCTGAACCCTCTGACAGAGGGCGCCATTCGACCCGTAGAGTCGAAAGTCTGATGAACAGCGTCCATGACACCGTCAGTGAGCTACTGTTTTTATTTGTCACGGCCAAGTTGTACAACGTTGTCGGTTCCAGGGTTGTTTGGGATTGTGTTGGGATTGGGGTAGTGGGTGGCGCAGTGGTTGGCTGGACCGTGGTGATTGGCTGTTCAGTTGTTACGCTTGGCTGCTGTGTGCTGATTGGCAGCTGGGTAGTAATAACTACCGGCTCCATTGTCGTGATTGGCTGCGTAGTAAGCTGTTGTGCCGTTGTCATTGGCTGCCAGGTTGTGCTGTCTCCTGGCTGTGTTGTTATTGGTCGGTCCGTTGTAAACTGTTGTTGAGTTGTAACTGGCTTCTGGGCCGTTGTGACTGGCTTGAAAGGTGTTGTCGACTCCCGTGTCGTTTCTGCGGATCGCTCGACTGTCGTCGACTGTTCTGTGAACGGCGGTGTCATTTTCTCTGTCGTTGACTGATCTGTGGTCGTCTCCAAGAAAGAAATAGTTTGGCCACTGTGCGTTATCTCATCAGAAAGAGTAGATGGCTCAAGCTCGGTGGTATCTTCGGCTGTTGACAACTTGCTCAAAGTCGTCGGCATAACTGCAAGAAAAAAGACACATCTTTAATTTGACTAATGTAACCAACAGAATGAAGACGAAAAACATAAAATGGAAGGTGTCCTTGAAAGATAAATTGGGAGACATTAAAAAAACATGGCGCCAGCGGGCATGACAAATGCACGACAAACAAACGAAACGCAAAAATCGCATATTTCAAAACGCAAGTTGTTTCTCAGGTCTTCAAAATTTTGATAGGAATTTTGCTTCCTTACGAATTCAGGTGAATTTTTGCCTGCTCATATGATTTAACACGAGGGCAGGACACATTCCAGAAATGGCAGGGTTTGTTAGTGACACAGAAAGGGCAAAGGCATAAAAATGCGGTAGGTTTAGAAAACTTTCTGGGCACCAATAATTCATCGCCGGAGAAGAATGCTGTCTGGGGCTACAGCGCGTTTCATTGTACCTGGAGGCATTCAGCGCTGGGGTTCACACGCTCGCTCAACAATCACCTTTTCAGCCAATAATTTCCCCTCGAATTTACCTTTACCTGTTTTGCCCAGCAACGCAGGCCGCACACACGAAAATGCCCATTCACGGCGGAATTAACTTGCCTTTGACATGCAAAAAAGCAGGAACCCGCAAAGTGACCTTGCCCATTCTCACTTCGACACCGCTGCACTGTTCGGCTCCCTTCCACGGAAGCCTCTCATAAGTAAACGAATATATATTTACCCTTTTTTCAGTGTCAAGAAGAAGAAGAAAAAAAAAAACAGAAAAATGGGGCCCAAATGTAGTTTGGGGTAAAATTTGAAAGTGTACTCCAACGATTTAAAAAGCTTCATTCATTTCAAGTATCGCTATATTGTATGTATGTGAATGACAAACAAGTGTAGTTTATGCAACAATGCAGTCCAAAACTTACATACCACTAGTAAATATGCCCGAAATGAACAAAAAATGTTTAACAACTGGAGTCATCCTGCTAACTCTTGGCAAGCTCGTCCCTAAATCCTGCATGGCTTCGGGAAAACAACTCTTTTTTTCCCTAGGCCTACATGTCTCCCGAACTCACCCCGTATGGCAAAGAATAATAGAACTTTTAGGCATTAAAAGATATTTACTCGAGGACGGTGCGCTAGCCCAGCCGAGGCTGCATGCTTGAATGACTCTATTATGTGACACCACCACAGCCCCACCAAACTTGGAGCGAGCGTGCAATGCACGACACATACCAAAAACCCGTGTCCATGGACTATAATATTTTTCCACATGTTTCGGCAAACCAGTCTTTTACAATTCAAATCCGTCTGTTTTCATGGCAGCCAATCAAGCGGCAGTTCGCTTGTGACTTGCATATCTCGCATAGAAAGTTCTCCCCGCGGGGGCACAATCGGGTCAAGGGAAAAAATATCCTTTCAGAAAACACTTTTGTTCGCTACCTGTACCAAGTTTCGAGACACGTCATCGAAAGGGTACAAGGTACGCGCCCATCTGCAAAGGCCAGGGGACGGCAGTGTGTTCGGCGAGCCAGGTAGAATGCGCAAGCTTGCCAGGGAATCTGCCAGAAAAAGAGAAGTATGCTGAGCTTGAGTAGCGTCGAGTGCCTTGTGCGGGCAAATGTTTACAAAAATCGGTAAGTTTATACTAAACCAGGTACAAAGAGACGACGATGTGGACAGGTAGGCGGTGACCTATCTTTAATTCTTGAAATATGTATAAATTTAATGCTAAAATGTAAAAAGAGAGTTGTATTAGTTTAATGCTCAGTGAATGTGTTTTAGAATCACTGATTTACTTTCTTAATGTGCCAGTTAAAGACACAACAATTTACAATTTTTTATGTCTGATTAGTTCCAATGAGACCTTTTTATTTAGATGATATTCTAAATAAACAGAAAATTTCCATAATACGAGCACCACCATTCGGATTTTATACAGTCGCTTCTATTTACACGTATGAGAATTGAGACGCGCACGTTAACTTACTGAGAGAAAATGAATGAATTCAAAATGGTGTATTTGAGGTGCACATTAAATACATGTACATGCATGTTCACCAACGGTCTTTAACCCGGTTTGTCATACACAGGATATTTCAATAGGATTACTCCTCAGGAAGACATTACTTGAAGAGCTCTTTATTCGCGGACAGTAGCGCCAAGGCCGTGATTCCATTGTAATTCAGTTTTTTTTTCATACGGAATACCACGTCTGGTGCAGGTCCCATGTCTTGTCCCGAGGTGACCCTCTGAGGTCTATCAATATAGGAAACCGTGAATTTACAACTTGTTGAACAAAACCGCAAATGCATATTAAACATTGCTAACAAAAAACAAATACAGAAAACCACGCTTACGCCAGCAAGCTGGTGAACAGGTACGCCAAAGTCCAAAGTCCACAGAATATTATTTGTACATCCTTCCACTTACTTCAAAAATCCAATGGTCGTAAACCAAAGGTATTTATTACTGGTAACGGGAGGCAACTTCTTGTTTTTGCTTTAAAATTGAGACATTTTTTTCGTTGCGATTGCAACACTGCTTTGTGTTTTCTGACGGAAAGCTGAAAATATACAAAACTACTCTTGTGAAACAACATGCGATTTTTAAAATGGATATTAACCACAATACACGAAGACAAGGATAATTGTATTAGGATGACAAAAGCCTGATTCGCTAAAAGAGTGTAGTTTATCGACACAAATCATCTTTTCTGATGTCTATTTCAATGTGTGTACCGTGTCTCAAAAATAAACGGTCTCAAACCTAGTCTATCAGGATCCCGAGTATACAAAGAATGTACAGTATACATCTCCGTTTTCAAAATTACCATTTTTAACAAATTAATGATACTTCCCTCATGAACAAAGTCTAATGTTAAACTTTAGTCCATTGTTGCAAATCTTGTTATAGTCCAATGCGCATTTTACTTTTGAAAATGATTTTGAGCCTCTCCGAAATCTTCGTAGAGCAGTATCTTTCAAAACAGGGACTCAATTAAAATGCCTTGTTTTTAAAAAAGAATGAATTACATAGATTTTTTCAATTGAACTCAACTGTGATTTGATGCATTTTTTATTAAGATAAACAAGGTGTACCCTTCATTGTGAGAAAACTGTGAAAGCTTGAACATTTTGAGCGTCTGTGTTTGCATAAGGTAAAACAACGATTTCCAGAGGATCGTTATCAACTCTATTACTCAATTGTGGTGATCCAAGAAAAAAATGGATGCCTTACCCGAAAACTCCGTTTTTGAACTAGTATATGGTATAACATTTGAACGCTCGAATATTGAAGTTATATCTAGTTCAATTTAAATGATGGGAATGTTGCCAACTGCGTAAATTAAAAAATCTGCAGAACTTCCCGGAACTTTAACTAACCACCGATGTCAATCCTGCCCCGTAGATTTGCATATAAATTACACTTTCTTCTCTTCAGACAAACAAAAAAAAAATCCTGGTATTTCACTGTGGGAAAAATTGAATGGATCGAACTTGGTATAAGCCGCGTCGCGTTTATGTTAGCACCTCCCGTAGCATACCTGTACATGAAGTGACCACCCGCGGCTATATAATTGTTATTTTAAGCGTCACGTGGATAAATGGGTATTCAAGCAAGTTATCGTGGCGATTGGATGCTGAGCGAGCGTGCTTTATTTGTTATCCGAATTATCGTATAGCCAATAGACCAGAAGGCTCTGTTCGGTTCCCATGGAATTTACCTTTGTGTTTCCAGTTTACCCGCACTTTAAAAATCACAGATCTTGAAAAAAGAAGAAGAAAGAAACACGGCTTGGAGATGTTTTGCGCTACCCTGAGAATTGGTAGTGGGTTGCGGATAATAATTATGTACGTCGCGCAACACTTAACCATGTCACGGCCCCATCTGGGCAACAAGGCAATAACGCTGGAAATAATCGCTCTCAATCACTGTCACGGACTTCTTTTCAAGACTTGAAGAACAATAATTCTTGGCCAGACATTCCAGCAAACACTGCATTTACCAGGGGAAAACGCGGTCTGCCCTTATTATGCCACTACGTTGAAACTTCTTTCCATCTGCGACAGGAATGATCTTGTTTCCGGGTTGAATCGTCACGTAAACTGCACTTCAGTTGAAACGATATTTTGGTATGCAAAAACGAGCTCAAACATATTTCTAAAAAAAACCTTGACGGTAAGCTAGCCATCCGTGAATTTTGCGGCTGCGTTGGAATTTCATGTTTATGCATGTAGGCGTTTTTTTACACTTATAAACTGAGCCCTTGAACTCTTTATTTCTGTGAACTACAGAGCACAGTTTATTTGCATTTTTATGCCGAAATTCCGTTGCTGAATTCTCTCCACGCTGCACAATGTTGCAACATAATGTTACCATATGAACCAGTGTTTGGCAAGTGAACACTTATCTGTAATGGCATTTCAGTTCAATCAACTATTCCTAAAGACCAGCTGATTGTGCAGATCTGTGGTTTGATTTGGTCGCCTGATAACTGTCAAACAAACATTTGGCAAATAAAAATGATTGCACAAATGATACTGCTTTCTTGACTTTGTTGACTTATTTTTGCCGGTTAGACTGGAGTGACACAACCATCACTCCAAAGCCTGGGCACAGCAAGAATTACGATGATGCACCTAGCAACCACGCCCTAATACCATGTGACATCGCCACCAGGTATACTTCAGTGTTGCAACCAGCAACCACGCCCTAATACCATGTAACATTTGACATCGCCACCAGGTGTACTTCAGTGTTGCAACCAGCAACCACGCCCTAATACCATGTGACATGTGACATCGCCACCAGGTGTACTTCAGTGTCAAGTCAAAATCTGAGCACACTTGGTAGCGGTGCCTTAAGTCATTGCTTTACATCGGGGATTGCCAGCAAAGGACTTAACTACAAATGGAAACCCAATCAGTTTATATCCTTTTTGTTCTCATGAACGGTCAAAATGTCTGCTGTCAATTGGTTTCAAGGCAGACTGAAAATCAATGGTTTGTTTTGTTGTTTTCCACTAATTAGGCCTCAAATTGACATTCTGTAATCGATAAGTTGTAAAAGTTCATAACTTTCGATAGCTCAATTCCAATAAGCCTGGTTTCCATATGTTCGTTTGTAACGCAGACTGTCCGCAAGACGTCAAGACGTAGACATTCGCGAAAGAGATGCTGCGTGACGTCATTCCACCCCAAAATTAAACAGACTGGCGTCCGAAACTCGGACAATTTTCGCAAAAAAATGTGCTTTTTAGGTGGCAATGTTGCCTCTTGAAGCCAAACTGACGCTCCAGTTTGATGTAGTTTGTTTATGGTAAGCTATTTTGTTGACGATTGGGGCTGCATGTTTTAGTAATAAGGAGAAAGTTGACAAAAGGAGTGGTACTAAGCGAGAGAAATATCATTGTACGCCGGTCATGCCAGTGTGCGTGTTTGTATAGGCCTACTCGGCGATTCAACGCAGACAGGCAGTCGGCAAAGTTGAACCGGGCTCAACAACCGGGTTGCGTCATGTCTGGTCCATATGTCTGTGTTGCAGTTTGCGTCTTGATTGCGTCGCTCTCTGCGTTTCTTACGTCGATATGGAAACCAGGTTTACCGGCCAAACAGATTGAAGACACATTAATACATACCTAGTTGGTTAACCTGGGTAATTTTGCAAGTTGTTTAAAGATTACATTGTGGTTGATTCATGGACTAAGCTCAACACAACTTGTGAAGGAACAACTAGTCCTTTCATTAGAAAAAAACTGTTGTACCAGAACGTGAGTTTCGTTGCGTTTAAATACATTGCCAAAATATCAGTCTGAGATCAAGAATGAATCCCCTTCTCGTGCTTATGTTGGTTACATCAAATTACAACAATTCACCATGTTCTGGCTATTAAAACATTTGGCTGTCTTCGAGTGTTTACCTCATGATTCAACTATCCCGGCATAATTTCAGCAAAGTCCAAAATAATGTAGCGTGCGCGTAAAGATGTTTTACTTATATGTTATTTCTTCCTCTCAACAAGGGTTCTTTTCATGGGACAAGTCGTAGACACTTTATTCCAGTAAAACTTTCACACCGCAGGCATCTTGTAATAGTTTTCATATTACTCTTTAGCTTACATATCTTATTTCATGTTAACCGGCTTACCCGCCCTTAATGAATATGTTTCAACCCACGTAAATAGGCCCCAAAGTTCTGCAAAGGTTCAGATTTTATTGCCATTACGGGACATAGCTTAGAGGCATACGTGTCAGAATGTTGCCTGCCTCGCTGAATTAGGATTTAAGCTGCTTACTGGCATTCCTGTCTAAAATGACGGAACTAGAACTTTTCAAATTTGGAATACCAGGTTTTGAGCTGTTTGTGAAAACAACCCAGAGCTAAAGCAGGGGCAATTTGTGCAGTAAAGAAAATCAGAAGCCAGGTTTACTCTTTCTTTTCGTTGGGGTTGTATGCTACGCATGGCATAGCCTGGGTGATGGTAAACCAAACCAAAAAGCCCTATACTTTGCGTCTAAGCTGTGGAATACAAAGGGTAATTTGTGTGGGCTCAAAAAGCCCAATATTTTGATGAATGTTGTCCCGCAGATCCCTCTTTCATTACAGTCAGAGCATTCATTCGGTCTTGATTCCTTTTGCTGAATTATTGAAGCAATCAATCACTGAAATTATTCATGGACAAAATTGAAAATAGCAGACTCGTCACGCGATTGCAAAACCGACCTCGGGAGAGTTCAGACTGTCTCCATGGAAAATTAGTCTCTCACAAACTCTTCCAAATACTCATTGTCAATCGTAAACCCTACCTGTGGTTGGCTCTGCAACTTGTGTGCAGTTTAGGCCGTTCCCAACAAAGCCGGTGTCGCAGACGCAAGCGCGGTAACCCCGTATGACCCAGCAGCTTGCGTCATAATGGCACCGTAGTGTTTGGCACTCAATTGTCTGTGCGTCGGTGCAGAGACATTCATGTGTACAATTCTCCCGAACCCATCTGTCTCCAGCCTGGGAGAAGGAAACGGGACAAACACATATTACTAACTTCGACGTATAAAAAGTGAAGAAAAGCCACAATGTCCTTTCACGAAGCCTATTTGATGTTTTGGCACCCACAGGTGCTGGTGACAGAATTCAACAGGCCGATTGAAAACAATTAATGTTAGTGTGTTCCAACGAGCCTTTTACGATTTAAATTTGAATAAATCTGGTACACGGAGTTCTTTAAATTCAGGTGAACACAAAAATTTGAATTTTTCATACTAACGACACTGTTGCTACAGATGCATTGGGGCAAGCTTTTGCTTAGTTACATAAGAGACACCTTACACCAATATACTGTTTTCAATGGATATGAAAGGCACAGAGGAACCAGTCCATTCCACAGATGGTAGTCACTATGCAAAAACTTGCCCCGAATCACAAGGTATAGCATCAGTGTCTATAGTCCAGGGAATTCAAATTGTTATGTTTATGTGCAATCAGGAAACTCAATATAGCAGATTTTATTCAAATTTAACTCGCAAATGGCTTATTTAGAAAAAGGGCATTGTTGCGTCTTGAAGGACACTTTTTTTTATACAAAGCAGCCGTTTATCTTGACCATAACAGACTACCTCTAGATAACTGAATGCTGTTACTTACGGCACACCTAAAATGTTTTCAGAAAATGGAGCCAGACATATTATAGGTTCGGTGAAATTTTCTATTGGAACAACAAAGAGCAACTCTCCTCATCACACACGTAGAATGCTCATCTGTTGAAAATCTCACATCACCGCAACAAACCCAAAAATAACACCGACCGGCACAGACTTGATAACTTACAGAATAGTAGAAGCCATTCTCAGAGCAGCCACATTGACTCTCGGGAAGGCATTCCTGATTGTCGAGTTGGTAGCCAGGCGGGCAGACGCAGCCCTCTCGGGCAGAACCACAGAGGGCGGGATCTGGAGGTGCGTCGTGGTCTGCACAGGTTTCGGGACACTGCGGCGCGAAGGGAGTGTAATGCAGTTCGCCTGGGCAATGCAAGGCTGAGGTGAAATTAACAGAAATGAAAGCTTTTGAACCAAATAGAAAGATGTGTACTTCAAGGAATCTTGCGTATTCTACATTTTCAGCAATATTATAAATAAACTTCTCAGTAGAAAAAGAGAAACTCAATACGTTTTCCTTCCACATGACTAATGACGCTTAAAAGGGTGTAATCGTGAGGAATTTTCAATCACTTTGTACATTTATACTGGGGCGGTACAATTAACATAATGTATTCAGTGTAACTTTGTGTAGTTTGCAAGCAAATAAGGCAAACTACTCACGACAAAAGTCTTCTTTTCTCCACGGAATCACGTGATATCCCAGACGGGCACAGGCTCCGGCATAGACGCTAATGTCGTCGCATATTATGTCAAGATCTGGCAAGGTCGCGCATGCGTCGTACACGCACGCATCGTAATATGGATCTGGATTGAGATAAGGAATGCACTCCAAAAATGGACCTAGGCAAACGCAAAATACACAAAGAAAGGAAAAAAATTAGTACCAAGCGTTCATATTTTACATATTTGATAAACAATGAAAACGTGGTCCTCGACCATTTGTGTTAAGTTAAAACACGACCATTAATAACAATTAAGATTAGAAACCTTTTAATATCAAGTTCATCGTCAAAATAATTAAAAATACACGTACTGATGAAGTTCTTTATAAAATGCCAATATAAATAGAAAAAACTTGTCGTGGCCTTGTTTCATCGTTTCCAACTTATACAATCAAAAGACAGAGCAACGAATATACGCAATGTGCCCACTGGATGTGCCATTTGGAAATAATGCCATAGAAAAATCAAATTAGATTTTTTTACTGCATTTATTTAAATGACTGATGATAAAGTTTATTTACCGTCTTGCTGCTTCATGATAAAACATAAGTCCTGCCCGAGCGTGACATTTGCATACCCTTCACAGGGTTCTGCGTCAACCGGATCAGAGGTACACCTTGAGCTATCAACGGTCCAACTTTGACCGAAAGTGAGCAGATTTGTGACCTACAAATTTGCAAAACAAGCAAATAGGAGACCTGTGACTTAGAGACTGGACAGCCAAAGTACACAAGGAGTCAAGGTAGAATCGAAAATTTGGGTTTAGAAATGCTCACTGCTAAAACTGCTTAGTTGAATGGGATCATGAATTACATAGCATAAGTAGTAAGCAGAAGTTTATACAAATCGATTGAGGATATTATCAAAAATTATATAGAAGATTATGATGAAAGCCTTACATCTTTGAATTAAATCTTCATTGTTACATGGCTACTGACGTTCACACAAAGACAGCAATTTGAAATATTGAACTATTGGATTGAGTCCTTTAATAAAAGCCATAAAATAAATAGTTTTGCATGCTTCATGTATAGGTTTGTTTAAAGAAAATCGTCAAATGCTGTTTTGGTACAATTCAAGTCCTCCAATATGTTAAGGAAAGCGAGTTTGATTACCAATGAAGGCCAAAAACCTTAGCTATGCGGGATATGAAATAGTAGGCTGTACCTTAAGACTGTTTTTAGTTAACAAAGGTCAGTGCTAGATGAGTGTAGTGTGCTTGCACACGGTAGGTACGAGACTCTGAAGAAGTGTCCCAAACGGTGGCTTCGTGTGTTATTGAGAGACTTCCCAAACTGAAAGAAAGTGCCTAATTTATGGATAAACGCAAATCTACCCATAAAGTGGAATTTTATCGCGAAACGGAAGAGTGAAATTCTTTGTTTTTTGTGCTACAGGGTGCTACACCATCAGTACAAGCCTATGTCTTACAACAGTGCCGTCGGATAGCATCAAGTCATTATCCTGATCTGCATCGTAGTTCCCGCAGAGTCCGCACAATGCACCGCTGTATTCAGACGGGACTGTGACTTTAGCTGTATGTCTACCGTCCCAGCGAATGGACAATCCGAAGTTGGTGGACAGGATCTGCTCACATGAAACAAACAGATTTTATCCATGAGGCACTGACGAACTGAGATATCTTTAAATAACACATCAGCAATTAAAGAAGTGGTGATAAGCGTTAGCATTGTTAACATCGCATCAGGGCCGAATGTCAAGGCGCTGCTTATCAGTTAGCAGAAATGTCGTGCTTGCTTCAGCAGAAAATTTTGATAATACGGTGAGCACTATTTCATAACGGTGTTTGGCGTGGCTGTGCCTACAGTTGCGCTTGCATAGAGATTTCCATCGTTTTGTTTGTCACTAGGTTACAGAAATGCGCAGAGCCTCTGTAAGCGTACAATCTTGTGCTTAGTAGGATTTAGCAGCGCCATGAAATTCCTAACAGATTTTTAGAACCAAAATGGTGCGTCCCAGTCTATAGTGAAGATATCTTTGACCCCTAAACATGAACCAGAAATCAAATAATCGTTTATTACTGCAAGTGCCATTCCAGTATCTGTTCTAATATGGCTCACCGTTTCGGTACCACTGAATAGGATAGTGACGCCCTCTTGGGACACGAAGGGCAGCTTGATGTCAACTCCGTCAACACTCGTTACACCATTTTGAGCAAGCGTAAAAACCTTGACAGAAAGTAAAGCACTTTTTAATGGAACAAATAGAAACAACATTATTGAACACCAAATCTCCCTTCAACATTGTCTCCGATTTAAGGGCCATTTTAATCGACAATAGAAATATTTCATTGTACTGTATATTCTAATTTTTTTCTCGATGCCTGTTTTTTCCTGTTGATCACTTGGTCCGGTTTTTACTCGTTTACAAAATAATGATGACAGGAATTTAACAAATCAACTGTACCTTCCCGCACAAGTTCAGTTTTAACTTCTTTGTGTAAGTCACTTCAGCTTCTGGCTTTCTCTTGACGTTTTCTGCCGTTATCTTGAAGGCAGGTGTCGAAGTCTGATTCCCGCAAACGTCCACGAGGGTGTAGTCGCACTCTCCTTGAAAGTTGAATTGGAGACCGTCGAAGGTTTTGTAGTGCGGGTCACCCCAGATGTAGCACACACCAGGAGCTAGAAAGATATTACGCTCTTAATTAAAATCGTTGTTCAAAATGCACTTTGTACTGACTTTAAAAGCTTTTTCTTGGTAATTGTTGGGGACAAAGTTTATTTTATGTTACAAAGAGCGACAGAAAATGTATGTATAATGCAATGTACTAATTCCTCGAAATTTATTTTTGAACTCTTTATTTTCAGTACATAAAAGAACATGAAACGACACCACAGGACAGGTTAGGTAAAACCATTAAAAGTTTTGAAAAGCACAAAAAATGGTACATCCCAACAGGACGCTGATTAAAAGAAAAGGTAATTCATAAGACAATTTTTTTTTAAGATAGACGTACGTTCTGTCCTGGCGCGTACATTTTTCCCCAGTATTTTATCACTCTGTTTCCTCGCAGATTGGTCTGCTTCAAATCAAATGAAAGTGGATTAAGAAAGTTTTCCTGGAAATAGAGGAAAGCGTCACTCACCCCTGGTGCAATTTTCCCTTCCGTCACCAAAGTACCCATTCTTACAGAAGCAGTCCCGCACGCCGTTTGAGATGTCACATTTGGCCTTGGCGTGGCAAACGTTGTCTTCGCAAAATGCTTGGGTCCCGTTGCAGTGACATCTCGTCGAGCAGTCTTCACTCAACCATTTATCTCCTCTCTAAGTTAACCAACAATTTGCCAAAAAGATGTCGATTCAGTACGTTTTTCACCAGAAGGATATCACCATTATTCATACTGAAGACGTTTAAGTTGGCACACTGCAGTGCACTGGTGGCGCTGTTTGCCTTTAAGGTCGGCGTAAGTGAGGTCAACACGCAGTCATATTACGTAGCGGGCGCGCGAAGTCGCAAGTTCAGTATGGGAAAGGCAGCATTTCAACTAAACAAGAATCTTTTCTTTTTCTGTGCTCTGGGATCTGAAGTATCAAGGTAAGACAGGGCTACGTTCAGGGTGAGGTAGGCTGCAGTCTTTGAAACTGCAACTGTTTCAATTTCAAATGGAGCATGCAGGTACCACACGCCATCTACATACCTTTAGATAGGTCCCATCCTGGAGAACGCACCCACACTCTGATGGCAAGACACAGCGCCCTCCTTCCAGTACCTTTCCCTCGGGGCAACGGCAGGTCTCCACGCAAGTCTGATTGCACATGTCTTCCATGAGACGCTTTGCGCAAGTGTCGTGACAAGCACGTCCACAGGGCTCGTAATGCATACCATCCGGGCAAGGATATGCTATGCAAAAATACATTCATCGAACGAACTTTTTGAAAACATGCGGAGTTTCATGTATGTTGTCTCTGTTCTGCCTTCTGTTTCTACTAAAGTTCCGCCTGCTGTTTGACTGCAGTGCGAAGCTATAATACGTGTATGTACACTTTATTGATCCATTCATCCTATACACACGACAGGAAACAACAATATTGTTACAACGCAAGCGTTATAGCCACACCAGTACATTAAATACGCTCAAGATTCTGCAGAGTATTCTCTTAATTCAAAACCAGGGTCAGAGAGAGAGAGAGAATTACCAGCATGCACACTCTGCAATAGTCAATCAAATATACGCATTCAATTTGTCGTCGACCTCAATTAACAAAATGTCGGTTGCACGTATATGCTTACCACACTGTGGTGTTTCCACCCTCCAATTTCTAATTTCCACGCCCCTGTTGCGGCAGGCCTCTCCATATTGTGACAGGCTGTCGCAGAGGAAGTTATCGTTCGGCAGGTAGGCGCAGAGGTCATAGACGCAAGCCTCGTGATACGGTCGAGCGTCAACGAAGTCGTGGCACAAAGCAAATGGGCCTGTCAAAATATAGCTTTTAAGGTACGGTACCAACTCCAGAATATCCTGACTATGGGTTAACCGTTATCCAGCTGTCACACCCAACAAGAAAAAATTTTAGAACCAGACATTTCAAACAATCGTCAAAGATATTTGTGCTCTCGCAGTAGAAGTAAAAAAACTGCTGTACCTTTTTATTGGCTGCAAAGAACTGAAATATAAGAATATAGAAAAGTCAAGAACTCTGTTGTTTTGATCTATGAAGGATCGAAACATCAGGTCCTCTTACCGTTTCAATTTGTGAAATTGCATGTATATGTATGTAATTTCTTCTCAGCACTTCAAATTATGAGCATGTTCCTGTTAATTCTCAACTAATATTCGCAATTTTTCTCCCGATTACTCGTTTTCGCACCTTTCATTTTCTTTCATTCTTATTTTTTCGTATAAGAGTTATTGTACCTTAATTTGACTTAAAACGCACGAACTGTGATTGTCTTGTTTATTGATATTTTATCTCATGTTTCTGATCACCTGTCTCGTCAATGATGACGTAGCACAAATCCTGCGCTCTTTCCTTGTTTTCCGGTTCCTCGTCGCATGGACTCGGTACTATGATCTCATCGAAGCATTGATCAGGATATGTTGCCCAGCTGTTTCCAAAATCATTTGCAGTCGGGACCTTGTAGTGAAAATAGACACAAAAAACATTTTCTTAAATCAATATACTGATGGTGGATCGGGAAAATATGCATTTCTCCAAAACACAAGTCAAGAAGAACATTGTTTTGTATTACAAAACTAATATAAGATGAAACTAATAACATACCGTTAGGTGATCCGGAGTAACGAAGTCGTTCTCTGAGTTACCATCAAAGTTACCGCAGAGGCCACACGTTTGGTTAGCATAGTGAGAGGGTAGTGATATCTCAGCGGTACGATGGCCATCCCAACGAATGGATAATCCAAACGCTGTTGCCAATGTCTTGAAAACATGGAAAATATAACCCACAGTTTACGGACTGTAAGGATGTTTTTCTTCTGAGTCCAGAGTTACACCAAAAGTTGGTATAATGAAATTGTACATTACATAAATTCACTACGAAATACATCTTTCACAAACTATTTATCCAATTTTGTATAAACTGAACAGCATATGAAAAGGAAACCACAGCCAGATTAAGATATTAGCTGGTTATTCAGAAATTATAAATACTGGAGTAAAGTAAAATTTCAGCAGTCAATGCATTAATTGGATTTCAATCAAGCGTAACTGAGGCCTACCAGTTTGTATCCGTCCTGCAATATCAGGACACCATCTGCACGTTCGACCGGTGGTGTGACGACCACCCCGTCAATGCGAAGCTCTCCCCTCCTACGCAGTGAGTATTCCCCACTCCTGTAATGTAGTCTCAACTCTTCGGTATATGACACCGGATCGGAGGGCTTCATCTTGACATTCCTCGCCGACAGGTGGAAAGATTCCGAGAGCTGGCTGCAATTCCTGGCGAGCGTGTATTCGCAGTCCCCTTGGAAGTCATACTTGAATCCGTCAAATGTGATATAGTGGGGATCTCCCCACACTGTGCAAACTCTGGAACCTGAATTACAAACATCAAAACAAGCGAAAACCGATTACAAGCCGCCATCACTGCAAAACCTTTGTCGAAGGCTTAGGAAAGATAAAAGCATGTATTAAGAAAACCGGATATCTTATTACTTTGAAGAACGTTTTATTTGCGGTGCTGTATTCAAGTACATCACGAGTCCTTTCACAGGTCCCTTCATAAGTCCAGTCACAAGCCCCTTCACAAGGCAAGTAATAAGTAACACGATGAACAGTGACAAAAAACAGCTCATTTTAGTAGCTTGTGAATTGTCTAAGACTGAATGACTTGTGATAGACTTGTGATGGGCTAAAAGGGACTTGCAAGGACTAGTGATAGACGCGAATCCAACACTGATTATTTTGATGATCGTTATTAATTAATTAAAAATCTTGAAACAGTGTATTTAAAAAATCATTTCGATACACTCATTCAGTTCATGCTATGCTACACAAGGTTTCACTACACTGTTTCCAATGTGTAAGTATTTTGCAAATAAAGGTGCAAAGATTCGACAGGAGCATAGCAACCTTTCAGGCACTCAACACCATTTCCAACGAATCCATCCTTGCAATAGCAATCACGGAAACCGTTCTTGATGTCGCATAAAGCCGACTCGTCGCATTGTAAACTTGAGCACTGTACCAAACCATCGACGCCACAATGGCATTTCTCATCACATCCAGGAGAAACCCAGACTCCATTAATCTATAGGCAACGATAGAAGAGTTAAAAAGACGACAAAGAAATAACAAAAGCACTGATTAGCAAAAGATTTATTTCTATGATCTACTTTAGATAGAAAGAAGTGAAAAATGTCAAGAAATGCTGTAGAGAGGTCTCACTGGAAGGTAGGTCACTCCATCTGCCAGGAGACAACCGCATTCAGAAGGCTGGATACAACGATCTCCTTCGAGGAGCAGGCCATCCGGACAACGGCAGGTTTCGATGCAAGTCTGCTGGCAGTCAGCATTTCCTTGACGTTCCTGGCAGTTAGCTGGACACGCTGTACCACAAGCCTCGTATATCAGCTCGCTGGGGCACTCCAGCTCTGTCGATTCGGAAGAAAGTTATGCCCCTTACTTGGGATATTCACCGGTTCCACAGGCGCTCAAATCGTCTGTTTCATTATTTGTTCTAAAGATAATGTCAAAAGGTATTGGGGTAAATTCAAATCTCTACTTACGACAAATTTCTGCCTCCCTTTTCCAGTCGGCCACGCTTCCTCCAGCTGAACGGCAAGCTGCCGCATAACTCTCCGCGCTGTCACATAGCAAATCATCATCGGGAAGGGTCTCGCACAGATCGTACAAACAAGACTCGTGATAAGGTCCAGGATCCACATAATCGTGGCAAGGTGCAAATGGGCCTAGACATAGCAAAAATCAAGCAAAACTCCAATCAAAGCCACGCTTTTCGGGAATAGTGTTTGGATATGGCAAATCGCGTCCGACACGTTTGCAGAGCCAGAACAAGTTAGAGTGTGGTACCAGACTGCACGTCCGTCAGACCCACCTGTTTCGTCAATCAGTATGTAGCAGAGATCAGCAGCTTGGCGATAGCGCTCAGACTCCTCAAGACAAGGCTGTGGGTCAACCGGCGGCTCGCACTCCACCTTGTCTATAGCCCAGCTATGGCCAAAATCGTTGCGATGTTTAACCTGGGTGTTGGAAGACATTGTTTGGGGATTAAAGTCCAACACTAGGAAGGACTGAAAGGTCGCCCATGCTACCAAGACTCAACAAATACCACAAAGAGCAGATGAAATAGTCTTACCAGTGATCCGTCAGGCAGCCTGTAATCATTCTCTCGATCTCCGTCGAAGGTACCGCAAAGGCCGCATGTTCTGTTCCAGTACGTCTCTGGAACTGTTACCAAAACGATGGATTTGCCATTCCACTGAATCTCAAGGTTGAAACTCGTCGTCAGCAACTGAAAGATATTCAAACAGCAAGATGTGACCGTCAGTCTATAATCATCACCAAATGCTGACCTGTGTTCTGGAAACAGGTTGAACGCTTGTCCTTTGTGTCACCCGGCTCTTCCCACGTGACCAAACTCATTTCAGTCCCCGAACGACAGTTCTACATAGACACAACCTCAGCGATGTGTGGAAATCGCTTGCCAGTGTTGAGAGTGGAGGCATGACTTACCAATTCCTTTCCTGATTTTCGAATGCTGACTCCATTCAAATCCAGAACTGGTAGTGACACAGCTACGTCGTCAATTCGAACCTCTCGTTGCTGCAGTAAAGCGTACCGTCTGCCTCCAAACTCTAGGACAACCTCTCGCGTGAAGGAAACACGCTCCGAGGGCTTTCTTTTCAGGTTTTTCGCAATCACGTGGAATGACGGGAGGCCAGACGTGTTCCAACAGTCCCTGACAAGTGTATATTCACATTCGCCTTGGAAATCGTACTCCACGCCGTCAAAGGTGACGTAGTGAGGATCTCCCCAGGCCCTGCACACTCCGGCATCTGTGTGAAAATCAAATTAATGGCGAATGAGAATTGTAGCGTTTGGATCAAGGAGTGTCATTACATTGGTTAGAGTCACTTTTCTCAAACAGAAATTAGGCTCATTAGCTGAAAAGCTTGTGTTGACTTTTACTTTGATAAGTTGGTCATCATTAACTTACCTCGTTTGCACGTCAAACCGTCACCAGTAAATCCATTGTTGCAGTAGCAGTTACGAACTCCATCTTTGATGTCACAAGTCGCTTCTTCATGGCATTGCATCGTTGTACATATGCCACCACAAATGCATTTCTCTGTACAGTCGGGTGACACCCAGACTTCACCAAGCTACAACGATAGAAAATGTTGACAACACATCACTACAGATTGTAACAGAAAAACCAGGGTTACTTTGAAGAGACTGATACATGTTTCAAATATTACTTAGCCGAAAGTAAAAATCAAACAGACCAAAAAAAAATCCACACACACACACACACCTGAAATATTTATGAGGTCTTTTCACAACAGTGAAAGAATATAAAATACAGAGATCTTGTCACTGAAGTGTATGTCCTAGCCTCACACCTTCCTAATGCGGATGTGATCACCCCTAAAGATATTTCTCAACAGTAAATTGTGTAATTAATTATCCTGGTATCAATTCGAAATCTATTGCATATTCAACAATGAACCCGTTTATTTTTATGTTAAGCGCCGCCAGACAAAAAATTCAAGCAAAATTTTACACTTTAAAAGACAACTGTGTACGTGAACTCACAGGTATGTAAGAGAGCCCGTTGTTTAAGATGCAACCACATTCTGATGGCTGGATGCAGCGATCACCTTCAAGGAGAAGACCGTCCGGGCAGCGGCAGATTTCTATGCAGGATTGGGAGCAATTTGGGTTGCCTTGAGGCTCTTGACAGGTGGCTGGACAAGCTGGACCACAGGAATCGTAGACCAGACCGTCTACACATTGCAACTCTGAAAATTTGAAAATTGAATTTTTCAACACTATTATAAAATCCCATAGCATATCATGTGCATTTAAGGAACCAAACACGAGCCATTAATATACCAATTTAGTGCCTCAGTGAAAAAAAATCGGGGAGACCATACTCCAAAGGAAAACTCCAAACTCACGACACTGTGGTGTTTGTGACTTCCATTCTCCAGGTCCGCCTCCAGCTTGCAGACAGGCTTGGGCATAACTTTCAAGACTGTCACACAAGAGTGAGTCTTCTGGGAGGGTAGCGCAGATATCGTAGAGACACGATTCGTGGTATGGAGTTGGATCGACGAAATCACGGCATGACGCGAAAGGTCCTGTTGAAAATACAAATGACAAGGATGATACTAATCTTAACAAGTAACTTTTTAAGAAAACGGTGGTGACCAAAACACAGAATTTCCACAAGCCAGCATTATTTTCTCAAACTTGCGGTGGAATTAATCTTTGACTTGAAAGACTTTCTTTATTTCAATCTAAATATTTATTCCATTTCAGGCTCATTTTCTCTCTATCAGTTTAAACAACTTCACTGAAACGTAGCACGGAATTTAAATTAAAACAACATGTGGGTTGGGTAAATTTCTTCTAAATGCTTATTTGTTCTTGCTTTCTTTGTAATGAAACACACAACATACCTGATCCTTCCAGGAGTATGTAACACAGGTCGTTAGCCTGTTCATACAAGTCGGGATTGTCGTCACAAGGGTTTGGGGTATCTGATTGAGGTTGACATTGTTCTGCATCAAGTGCCCAACTGTTGCCAAATTCAGTGGGACTTTCAACCTGTGAAGGAATACAACCAACTTGAAGAGTGGAGAGAGAATGCATCTTGAAGATAAACAGAACCCCAAATCAAGTCATCATCAATCAAAAAACACTTTCTGATATACTCCACCGAAAAAAAACAAGGAAGTGTGATTTGCAAGTGCGACGTGAGCGTTCATCCTTACTATTAATCCATTAGGTTGTTTGTAATCGTTGGGTATCTCTCCATCAAACGTGCCACAGAGACCGCACGTCTTGTTCCAGTACTGGTATGGGATCTCCACTGAGACAGTGCTTGAGCCGTCCCAATGGATCACAAGCTGAAATTCGGTTGTAAGCACCTGTCAAAGAACCGAGAGCCATCAAAACAAAGCAGGTCAATCAGCAAGGACAAAATTAGACGACAGGCTACTGGAGTATAATAACATAATTTGTGCATGTTCTTGTGTTTCTCAATTTGTTGGTCTGAGCAAAACGTTATCTTAAATGACCTTCAGGAATGTTTAATAAAAATGTTCTGAGTCGAGGTTCTCACTAAATTTCGCCCGGAAATTCTGATATTGACTCCATCTGGACGCAGCACTGGCGGGGACACAGTGACCCCGTCCACACGAATCTCCTTCTGGTAACGAAGGGAGTACACCGTGCCCCTCAGTAGTAAAGTCACTTCTCGGGTAAAGGAGACCTTCTCCGAGGGCTTCCTCTTGGCATTCTTGACCACGACATGGAATGACTCGTCGTCAGAGGTGTTCTTGCAGTCCCTGACCAAAGTGTACTCACAGTCTCCTTGGAAGTCGTACTTAAGGCCATCGAACGTAATATAGTGTGGATCACCCCAGGCTGTGCATACTCCTGGAGCTGCAAAGACATAACAAATCGACATTAACCTGGCAATTAATTAGCATGTAATGGCGATCGTAGGATGCTTACCACATGGCTCAATGAAACTTAGAGTTCACGCAAAATAGGTTCAGTCGTTAACTTCTTTGGCTCTATGATAGGTTTAATTAACACCAAACCTTGGTTAACTGTCAGAAAAAATCTTTGTCTCCCGACGACAACAGCTGAATTACTCACCCCTCTTGCAATTTCGGCCGTCTCCTGTGAAACCATCGACACAGTAGCAGTCACGGACACCACCCTTTGGGGTGCATGTTGCAAATTCGTGACAACCGTAATCTCTACAAGTAAGCTGTCCTCCGTCACAAACGCACTGACGCGAACAGTCTGTTTGTGTCCAAATTTCACCAGACTGAATGGTAGAGACAGGGAGAACTTGCATTAAAGGCGTGTAATTAGACTTCACCGTAAATAAAATGACAGTCATCAAAACTTGGTATTGCAGATACAAACTACCAAAGTCACAACCTTTTCTTTGAAAATAATCCTGGCACGAATTCTGTATTTGGTTTCCTACCGTGTGTCACAAATAAGGACATCATCAACATTAAGAAGCCCGTAAAGCTGAAGGATTTACATCGTGACCATCCATTCGAAACAAGGTCAAAGGTAACTTTATATGCTTAATTTAGTGGAACTTATGTGTTACCATGTTTTGCCCAACCGAGATAAAGAATCGACTGAAGTTGTGTCATAATAATTTCGGGTAGCCAATAATTTACTTCCACTTCCTTGGAAAGGTAAAATACATGCAATTTTTGTTTGCAACTCGAAGCAGCCAGTCACTTTATTTTATTTTACCAACCTGAAGGTAAATCCCATCCTCCACCACACATCCACACTGTGTTTCCACAATGCATCGACCACCGTCCAGGAGTGTACCATTGGGACATCTACACCCCTCAACACAGGGGCTGGTGCAGGTGAGAGAACTGTTCCTATTCACACAGGTAGGCGGGCAAGCGGTGGCGCAGGAGTCAAATACCTTACCATCCTCGCATTCCACAGCTGCAGTAAATTGATTTGAATCAGCCGATAAAGTTTTCCTCAACTCCGTAACTTATTGCCAGCTTTCTGTGAAATGTTTGAAATGCTTTCATGTGGTTTACCTTAGAGCTCGTTTGAATTTTGTATTCCCTACACTTGCCGTATTTTCAGCTTTTCCGTTTTTAAAAACTTATAATACTACGTTTGCTGTTATAAAGTACAATCACTCATTGAAAATCTCCATACACGTATAGCCGTCACCAAATTTAAAAGAAAGAGGCAATAAACATTTTTTTGAAATATTTCGTACAATACTTGGGAATTTGAACCAACGCACTATTTTCTCGAATAAAGACAAGCGTTGTCCTCCATTTCGTTACAGCCTTTACCAAACTACAGGTCGATACACACAAAGTGGGACAAATCTGTCACTTTCCTTTACAAAGCTGGTGTCCAACACTTCAACCTACCACACTGTGTTCTTGCTGCTCTCCAATCTCCAGGTGATCCGCCAGCGGCCCGGCAAGTGTCTGCATAGCTGCCCAGACTATCACACATCAAACTATCATCCGGAAGCGTGACGCACAGATCGTACAAGCAAGAATCGTAGAAAGGCGAAGGGTCCACGTAGTCAAAACAAGATGTAAAAGGTCCTAGACAAAAATAATTTCAAAAATATTTTCAATAACTTGTAGGTTAGTTCTCTTTAAATGATTTTTCTTGCCCTGCCCTTCTCTGGAGGAGTTTAAGTAGGTATTTGCATTTTCTGACCGACCACCCAGACTTCCTCTTAGGCCTATGGACTTTAATATCGGACTTACCTGCTTCCTGTATTAACGTGTAGCACAAATCTGTTGCTTCCAAAAATGTTTCCGAAGTTTCATCATCACAAGGATTAGGTACTTCGGGTGTGACGTCACATTCATCTCCATTAACCACCCAACTGTTTCCAAATTGGTATTCGCTCGACGTCTAACAAATAACAGAACACACTTAATATATAAAAATTTCATGTCGGCATGAATTTGCTCAATCTACTTTGGGATAGGGTGTTATAATATGATATCATGTTTGTGGGGGATGGGGAAACCACTTTTCCAAGTGGGGGGATACTATATCAATTGTCTCCCCCCCCCACTTTTTTCCAAAACCTAAATGAAAATGTATACCTTTACACATGTATGTAAAATCAAGAAGAAATTTTACTTTAAACTTAAACAAATGTTGCAAAAGCATTCGTTAAAATCTGGCTAAAATAGCCCAAAATTGTCTGAGATTACAACACAAAACATCAATACTCCAAACTTTTTCAAATTTCTCCAAAATAAGCCGCTCAGGGCGTCGCGCCCACATTTAATCCGATCAGGGTTATGTCCCTCACACTTTTCAAAACGTATTGACGCCCTTGAATGAAACTCTTGAATTCTACAAACAGAGAGGAGCAACACCTCCTAAACTCTCTAAAAGTGTCTGTAGATTTATGAATCTAAAAAAGAGCAAGTTTCCTGCCAAGATGGAAACGGAACCAATCGAGTTGCATTCATATATGTTAATTCTTTTATTTAAAGTAGGCTTTAAAAAGCTTACAGGTAACTCTTGGTTTTTAGAGAAAATG